TTTTTTATAAAATATACTGTACATTAAAGCAACCTAATTATAAGAACACAGAAAGCAGGGAAATATATGGATTTTATTTCCAAAGTATATTCACAAGAGAAAACTAAAATATGCCTCATGGACGTTATTCATCCATATTTTTTTCAACTATTGAACACTATTGCAATTTTCTGAAGATATCCTATGTTTTATGCACCTTAAGGAACTATAATTACCAATTTTAAACTTAAGTATTCCTCAGAAATCCTTTATGTTACTTTTTTCCAGGTTTAGACACACATCATTTTTAAGACTGGAGAATGAAGACTTAGGCAAAAGTTACTTCGATTATGATGATATCCATTCCAAGAATATGACTTACAGTTAACACCTTTTCACTCGTCATCAAAATCTATTAGGGTTTTTCTTAGAATTCACAAACAATTATATTGGCAATATTTACTGGGAGTTCAACTACTTTTGTCACTGTTTTTCCCCCTTCCCAACACATTAATGAGTTACAATCCATAAATCCAAAATATTACTATTTTTCTTAATATCTTTTTATTTCACTGTTAATTAACTAGTTTGCTGGTTTTTAATTAAAAAAAACCCATAAAGCTATTTTAAAAAAAATATCTGAACTGAATGGCATTTGTGCTTGCTCTGAACTGGATTTTAGATATAATTGGGAATGGACTAAATGCAAACTGAATTGGAAATTGCCCACAGTAATTTCCCCAAAAGTTGCTGATAGAACATTTCTGAAACATCTCATTTACCTTGAAAAGAAAACACAAAGCCTTATAAAAAAATAGTATTCAAAGTTGCTGCAGCCTGAACAAAAATTAAATGCTTTCTTTTCCTTTCTTCAGTCAATCTATCTCATAAGGGTCACCATCAATCATTTTGACATACAGTATACAGGGACGCAATTCGGAGATCATTGTCAGTTGGGTATGATTTTGAAGAGAAGGAGCATATGGACTGTGCTTTATTTATCAGTGCAAACTAATCAAATAATATTTCTAGAAATAATTCAAGAATAAGATTCAGAATGTAGTTATATATAATATTAACATACAACTCATGGGCCAAAATGAATCATGCAATGCCAAACATATTTTATATTTCATATTAATTTACAATTAATAATCACAAATATCCTTTGTCTCTAAGATTAAGGAGGGATTTCAGGGAGCCATGAAGCCCTGTAGGATGGGAGGGAGTCAAAGAAAGATGAGGAGAATAGAAATTTATTTGCTAGTAAAAAGAAGAATGTTTCACCCCGCTCTATTGTGGTTTTATCAAATGTTGTCAATTAGCTTGCAGAATATAATTAGGAAATAAAATCTGAAGATCAAAATGTTTGATTTATTCACTCAGTTGGTTATGCTTAGTGTAAGGTGACCAGACGTACCGATTTCAGCGTGACAAGCACGCTTTATAACAATTTTGTTAGAGACTGCCTCCTGCCGATTACCTCCCATAGACCGATTAGATCTCACAGNCCATGCTGCCGTGCCCCGCCATAGAGCAGGATGCGTCCCGCTCTATGGTGGAAAGCTGTGCTGGGACTTTGGTGCGGTTTTCCAAAAGCCCCACCGAAGCCCAACGCTGGCAGACATAGGGCGGCAGACATAGGGAGGCTTTTGCATGCCATAGTTGTTAAGTGAATCATTGCAGTTGTTACATCAGTAACAAGGTTGTTAAGTGAATCTGGCTCCCCTATTGACTTTGCTTGTCAGAAGGTCACAAAAGGGAATCATATGACCCTGGAACACTACAAACATCATAAATATGGGTCAGTTGCAAAGCATCTGAATTTTGATCACATGACCATGGGGATGTGGCAATTGTCATAAGTGTGAAAAACAGTCATAAGTCATTTTTTCAGTGCCATTGTAACTTTGAATGGTCACTAAATGGACTGTTATAAGTCAAGAACTACCTGTAGTTAGTTGCTAATGAAAGCTAATGTTAATTCCCAGATTACATTGAAGAGTAACATTTTCTATGTAGCTATGTAACTTGAAAATAAAACTTGGTAAGAAGACCAAGAAACATTTAACAGAAAATCACATATGGCTAAAGTTAGAATTGTGTAGGTGCATATGTGCGTTTCCCCGCTACTATTTTTATACATAGGTTTTATAATGTCCTTGCTAACATTGATAAAACTGATGCTCATGTGTATTTTTATGCCATCTCAATATAGCCATTCTATAATGTTAATAATGTTATATTAAGTTATACTGAGAAATTTATACTCTACTGTTCAAAGCAGCCACAGAATCGTCTGAAGCAAGCAACTGCTTTGAGAACAATGCGACACTACCTGAGGGACTCTTATAATCATTTTTTGTTTTGTTTTTAAATACTCTAGTAATTTGATACCTTTGTCATGATTTAGATAGCTTGATGACTGAACAAGAAACCAGTTTGAGATTATTATGATTATTTACTGTTTCTAAGAGCAATATAATAGTAGCAAAGCCATTAGGTAATTCCTACAACCAAGCCAATGAAAAATAGTCTTTAAAAATAATGGTCTTTTTAATCCTCAGAGAAGGAGCTCAGATTATGAAGGCTTCAGTTTCTCTTATCCCTGTATTTTTCAAGATTTTCGCATAGCATGTACTGTACAACTGTTTCTTGCCATTTGAAATAATTGATTTAATTAATCCTCCAGGCATTCAGTTTAAGAACCAATACAAAGGAACAGATAATTTGTTCCACAAGAATTTTTTTTATATCTCTAATGTAGTGGGGAAAATGTAAATACCTGTAATGATTGAAAAATCCTAAGATTTAAAGTTTATGTTTTAAGAGTTATAGGATTAGATTCAGGGGTGGGATTCTACCAGTTCGGATCAGTTCGGGCAAACCAGTAGATCTGACCATCAGCTGGGACTGAACAGGTTCACTCTGACACCCACCCGCCCCTGCGCTTAACTCACCTATATCTTCTCAGCTGAGTCACGCAGCTGTTTTTCTTAAGGTGACCAGACGTACCGATTTCAGCGTGACAAGCACGCTTTATAACAATTTTTCCCGGGTCCCTCCGCCTTTTAAAAAAGTCCCGATTTTCTGGCTTCATGTTGAAAGCCCAGTGGATTTGCTTAAGAAATCCTAACCGGGGCAAGACAAAAGACACCCTGTCTAACTAACCTCTCTCTCTGTCTCAGTACTTTCATTGAAGATATTAAAACTTTAAAGCAACAAAACGGACCCCCCCACCCATTTTACTTACTTTTATAAGAAAAAAATGATCTAGTACCATAGAGCTGCAGGAAATGGCTAGAGAGGTTACTTCCTGGATTTTCCAGAGGGGAGGGGCATGGAGGTTGGAGGACTGCTCCGAAAAATGGTGGCATTTTTCCCCATTTCAATTTGCTCAGTTCTTTGTGTTAACATCTACATTGAAGCCTGCTAGGCCAAAAATGGGAGGTGAGGGGTGCTGAGAAAGAAAAAAAGAAAAAAGAAAGAAAGAAAGAAAGAAAGAAAGAAAGAAAGAAAGAAAGAAAGAAAGAAAGAAAGAAAGAAAGAAAGAAGGGACAGAGGGGAAAAAGGAGAGGAAGGAAGGACTATAAACTTGGCACTAGAAGCAGCTTCAGAGGATAATCTAGGTCTGGAAGAGACCTGGAGGTCATCTAGTCCAACCCTGCTCCAGAAGGACATTGGGGTTTTTTTGCCAAAAGTTTTTTTTAACATACATATAATATAATCCAAAGTATACCATTACATCTTAACAAACATTTTTTTGAATATTCAATAATATATCAATTCCTCTTGCCATTAACACACACATTTAGAACAGTTTCATCAAATTCAGTGGGTTTTACTTCCAATGATTTTTTTTTTTGAATTTATAAATATTTGGAGTACCATCCATATATTGACTTTCTGAGATTTAACAGTGCAACAGTAGAGATTGTTTCAACCTGGATGGATTGAAACTACTTGTTGAGGCAAAAAGGAGAGGTTCTTCTCCTTCTGAAAGTTAAATTCATATTTTGCAGATGGCACATTGTGAGTAAGAGTCTATTAGGACTGAAGGAAGCAGAGACAAGCAGGGATAGAATATCAAATTCCTCCCCAGTAGTGCCTGGTTTTCTTTTTTAGGTGTAAGCAACAAACTGTAAAAAACATATGGATAGATAGCTGTTACCAGAAGTTATTTTGTAAATAATAATTAGACCATGAGCTCAATTACCCTAGTAATGGAGTCCAATCCAACATGCTGGCCTCACTACCTACAATGGGCATGTTCAATGAAGGGCTCTTTCTACATGTGAAAGTAGAAATGCTGGGCCAATTGGTATTCTTTGTTGCTTGAAGAAACTTCTACCTAAAGCCATATGAATTCAGAACAACCTCAAGTATTCACCAGGGTGCTTGATATCTGCACTCATTGGGAGCAACCAGTTATATGTAAAACATGAATATTTGCCCTCTCATAACTGCTTCTTCAGCTAATAAGTAGGATGAGATCAATGAGGCTTACTGTCTTTTAAAGGTGATGGGTCAATTCCTAAAATGCTCAAGGTATCCGATATTAGGATATTATTTTTAAGCAATGAGACTATTGATGCCAAAGGTAAAAATAAACAGGGATATACTTATCCTGCTAATTTTCAATCTCCAAGTAGAAAATTAATGCAAGTTAGCACTGGACAATATAACCAATTCATTATTTCTTCCTTTATTATTTATTTGTTAAATAATTTATCTTGCTGTAAGGCTATTCATAGCATCGTACAACAATAAAAAGGGGAAAATGAAAAGTATGTGGACAGAAGATTATAAGGCAATAAAATAAGCAATGATTATAAAAACACAAGAAAAACAATTATATGATTACCAAAAAAACAAAAAGGACACGTAGAGAACAAATAATGGGAGAGGGGGAGTCTGCCATCAATCCAGCAGCCACCACCAGAATGAATTTCTCCAAGTAATCCCCATAGATTATTAATTCTTGATTTTTAATCATTTACATTGGGAAATGGAAGATTGAAGAGCTAGGATTTGTTTTGTTTTGTTTGATGCTCCAGCTGGCTTCCTGGTGTCGGAAGAACTCTCAGGAGACAAGGATAATCCAAGAAATCAATCCAGGCAATTTCTGTTCGCCAGGCAGCCAGAGCTAGTGAGAGGAATGAAAACAGGATTTTTTGCGATCACTGTTGAATCACCAGGTGGAGGGGCGGGGTTTCCATTCAAGTTCAACCACTGTGGTATAATGCAATCAAGGAAATGTCTCAAATAAGGAATCGGTCATTGCAGCATTGCAGTTTGTTGATATATAGCAATAGCACTTAAATTTCTACACCACTTCACAGTGCTTTACAATCCTCTCTAAGTGGTTTAAAAAGTCAGCCTATTGTCTCCCCTACCCCAAACAATCTGGGTCCTCATTTTACCCACTTCAGAAGGATGAAAGGTTGAGTCAACCTTGAGCCTGGTGAGATTGGATTTGCCAAACTGCTGGCAGCCAGTGATCAGCAGAAGTAGCCTGCAGTACTGCAGTCTAACCACTGCACCACCCTTTATCTATCTATCTATCTATCTATCTATCTATCTATCTATCTATCTATCTATCTATCTATCTATCTATCTATCAAAATGATGACCCTAGTTTCTTATAGGTAAGGCATATGGAGATCTGTCCCCATCCCCCCCCTGCAGTAATAACCTTGTAAAANTGGTGGCTCATTGGACCTACCCTCCCACCCATGTTCCTTACCGCTTTTTGAGGGAAACAGGCCAATTGCCCATGTGAACACAGCGTACGGCACCTGTGCAACCTTGGCAGCTGGAGTGCCGCAGGGTGGAGGCATGTGCATGCCTGAGGTGGTGCCTGGCCCCATCGCAGTGTACTGGTTGCGATGGGATCCAGAACCCACCACTGGTGTGTGCGTGTGTGTGTGTATGTGTTACATTTTACTCAAGACTGTGTTCTGTTATCACTTCAGTGTCTCAAGCACAAATCAGAATATTGGTCTTCTTGAAGATTCCTGAACTTCTTCCAGGCTACTTTTCCAAAATGGAAACTGCCCAAGAACTTCTGACAGAGGCGAGAAAAGTCTGTCTCCTCGTTTGAGAATTTTTTTAAAAAAATCAATCTGCTCTGTTAATTTTCCAAGAATGAGGGCCAGAAAAAAATCTGTTTCACAAATTCTCCTTCCTTAAAAGAAGTTTCATGTATATAACACTTGCTATCATTGCTACAAAACACAAAATTACCAATATTATGAAAGGACCCAGAAGCAACGCTGAATACTGGATTTAAAATGAAACACCGGAATTCTAGTTCAAATGTGCTTTAGAAGAATTGCATAGAGTTGTTCATCCACCTCTAAGGAAAGGTTTATTTTAATGTGTTGCTATGCAGCTCATATAGGTGCCATGTGGCTTTTCTGAGCCAATTTATCTTTCTGTGTAGCTATTTACACTTTTTTTTAAAGTAGAAATGTATATCCTGATGCTGAAGGGTCACTCATAACATTGAAAGCCTTGGAGATATCCTGTGGAGATCCTAGTAGGTATAGCCATTTTTCATGTGACAGAAGGGAAAAAAATATTACGTTTATGGGGAGTAATCATATTAAAGGTAAAATCACCCTCAAGTCAAACTCCGTTTTTGATGTCTGCTTCCATGCTGTTTTACTGGCAGTAATATAAAGGTAGTTTGCCCTTGCCTTCGGCTCTGATGTTTGTTGTACATTAGATAAGTGCTTTACCAATGCCTTTTTCTTAGTTTTTTTTTTTAACTTTTCAATCTATTCTTCAGCCCAGGAATTTTTTGATATGTATTAACCTGGTCTGACCTTGCTTAGTGTTCAGATGACCCATCATAATTTAGGTGTTGCCACTTATATGAGCATTAATGTTATTTTTATTTAATTACTTTTAAATTCTTCTAAAAGCCAATTAAAGCCCATTTAACTTCAGTTGGACTCCACCCACTCATTTGGTTTTACGGTGTGGCCCACTGTGTGAAACAAACATTTAGAGCAGCTCTCAGCCCTCGAAACTTGTTCAATTGCTTTAAAAGAAAAGTAATGCTTGAAAGAATATCCAGGAAATGTATTTCCTTAGAGTTTGTTGCTTTGACAAAATGAGTCCTAAAGCTTCCATTCCTCTTTGTTTTTCTCATGAGAATTATAATATAAAGGGAAAGGCAGTTTGGTCTAGTGGTTAAGGCACCATGCTAGAAACCAGGAGACAGAGAGTCCCGCCTGCAGGTAAATCAGCTGATTCTAGTCAGGATCAGTCCAGAATGTAAGCAACCTGGGTGACATTGGGCCAGTCAATTTCTCTCAGCACAGTTCACCTTCTAAGGTTGTTGCTGGGAAAAAATAGGAAGGAGTATTAGTTCTATGTTTGCCACATTGAGCTACTTATAAAGTAATGAAGATGAGATAAACAATCTAAATAAATAATAAAGATGCACAGATGCTACTTTACTCTGCTCAAAAGAATAAACATAAAGCCATGATTCGGTGTAGCTCTTTAAAAGAAATCTGCAAAGATTTCATTCTGGATTCCTGGCATTTATTTATTAATTCCATTTAAGGGCCACCCATTGCTCCAAGGAAACTGGGAGGCAGACAAAGTCAAAATACGGCATGCCATTAATGCCTATGAAAGCAAACTGAGTAGAGTAAAAGCAGAAAACCAATAAACATTATGTGTTATTAGTGTATGGGTTTGTACGTGTATATTTGTGTCTGTGTGTCCATGCCTCTGAACCCCCATTTTAATGCTTCCTTTCTTTCCTCACAGAATCAGAGGTTGCAGATTTTGATGGGAGGAGCTCCCTCCTCTACAGATTCAATCAAAAACTGATGAGCACCTTCAAAGACGTGGTTTCCCTGAAGTTCAAGAGCATGCAGGGAGATGGGGTCCTGTTTCACGGTGAAGGGCAGCATGGAGATTACATTACTTTGGAGCTGCAAAATGGGAAGCTTTCCTTGCACATCAACCTGGGTTTGTTCAAACATTTCAACTTATCTTGCATAAAGTTTTTCCTGTTATTGGCTCTTTTCTGACCTTCCCCCACTGAGTTGAAGGGCTGTCTGCCCATCTGTAAGTCAGCAGGAAAGAATGCAGGCACGATAGTTGCTTTTGCACCTTCGGGGTTAGAATAAGGAGGAAGGTATGATTTTGACATCAGAGAAAGTAGGGCTATTTAATAGGTTGGGGAGAAAAGGAAGACAATATTCCTGTGACATGGCAGCAAAAAAAAAGATGCAGAGCCTGTTTCGTCATAAGATTAGATATTAGGGAGAAATACTAATGAAGTCTTTGGTTTACATGGATTGGATTGTTTCACCCCAGTCTGACTTTGCTTTTCATTTTTTTTTCTTTTAAGAAAGCTGTGTACAAAACCCATTTGGCTGGCAAGATTCTAGTATCTAATTTCTGCTGTCTCAGATGACCTTGATCTATTAGATGTATGCCAGTTTTGAAGTTGAAGAACAAAGTGAAATGAAGACTATGAAGAGGTGTTTGGTAGTTGGCAGCTTTTAGGCACTGTGATGATTTGTCTTCCTTCCCAGGTAAACAAGATGGGAAACACAACTAAATGAATCTGTCCTATTGTAAGGCTACATTAAATTTTACAAAACTGAAATTATTCTCTTCCCACTGCCACTTTTAATTGCTTGATCCATTAAGTGGCTTCTTCCTAAATTTCTTTCTCTGACTGTTAAGCCACTGGAGGCTCCTCCCTTTCTTGTCTGATTTTTTCCTAGGCAGTGTCTCATCCCCAATTTCCCAAGTTCATCCATATATTCCATTACACAATTGCAATGGGTTCCTCAAGAAGATGGACTAGAAACTTGTTTTACTTGGTTTTTGATTTGTTAGGCTTGGATGAATTCAAAAGGCACCTTCTCTCCCCCCAAAAAAATCTCCTGCCATCTTCTCACTGTTTCTTTGTTTAGGGAGAAAGAATCTGTCTCTCTCTGGATTCAGAAAAATATGGAGTAATCAATACAATACAATACAATAGCAGAATTGGAAGGGACTTTGGAAGTCTTCTAGTCAAACCCCATGTCTAGGCAGGAAACCTTATACCATTTCAGACAAATGGCTATCCAACATCTTCTTAATGTCAGGTGCTCCTTTGTTTAATAATCAAGAAAGAAACCATTCAACTCCATGCTTTAGAATTAAGTGTACTTTTACTAATTACAAACGATGAGTAGCAAAGCAAAGCTGAGTCTGAGTAAANCCCACTTCAGAAGGATGAAAGGTTGAGTCAACCTTGAGCCTGGTGAGATTGGATTTGCCAAACTGCTGGCAGCCAGTGATCAGCAGAAGTAGCCTGCAGTACTGCAGTCTAACCACTGCACCACCCTTTATCTATCTATCTATCTATCTATCTATCTATCTATCTATCTATCTATCTATCTATCTATCTATCTATCTATCAAAATGATGACCCTAGTTTCTTATAGGTAAGGCATATGGAGATCTGTCCCCATCCCCCCCCTGCAGTAATAACCTTGTAAAATAGATTGACTAACTAAAAGCTATCATGCTTCCATAGGGAACTAAAGCTTGGTTTCTTTGGTCCCAGTCTAATCTACACAGTGGTACTTCTAAAATATTGCAATAGAAAAGTACTTAGTTATATTTTTGTCATATTTTATCTGAAATGTTAAACAGAGAAGGTAGGCAGTTTAGCTGCTCTTGATCGGTGTATTTCTGTTTGAATAAATCTTGCAATTAAAATGCAGCCATGTGGAAGGCAGTATCTTAATGCCTACTATTTGCCCCAGTAGACTAGGTCACCTTCTCTGCTTATATGTGAACAGTAGCCAGTTCCTTAGATGAGAATAAGAAAATTAAAACTCTCAACTAACACCAAATTTGAATATATCTCACTCATTTTCCCAAAAATAAATAAAAGCAAGTTCCAGAAATAATACCTTAGATTTAGTTTTACCCCAGTGATCGTTTTGATTTGTTGCTTCCAATTTAGCATTACTTTTGTATAGTAATTTCACAGAATTTAGATAAGAGGTGAGAGCCTTCTCATCTTTCCAGTCAGCATAGACCGGATAACTTGACAAATATTTTCTCCTGATGCTATAATAATAAATTCAAAATGTCACAGAACATTCTTGTCAAAATGACATTCCACTCCAGAAGATATAGTTTTCTAAACCAAGAGAAAAAAAGAAAAGGAAGCAGGTGGAATACTTCTATGTTTAATTTGTTTTCCCTTCCCCCCACTTTTACACTTGTACTTTTGCATGTACACTCACAAATATACAGACACAATTTTTATGGTGATGACCTGATATCATCAATAATACACACATGCAAAAGGGTCCATGCTGTGTTATGTTGTGTTGTATTATGTATGTTCATCCTTAAGATTCATCCTAAGATCTGAATCTTCTTAGATGTGCTCAAAATATATTGTAACAAACTTTAGCAGTTTAGCATCAAACAAAATTTGATGAACTGGATTCACACAGTCATTTTTTTTTCAAGGAAGCATCATGATAATTTTGTTTTCCCAAAAATCATCAATGTGGTATGTGCATCAAATCCTCTTAAAATGTGTTCCAGAGAGCAGTTGGCATTGTATTTCAGTTTGGCACTGTATGTAACAGTTATAGAGTATTGATCCTCTTTACTTTGGGAATACAATACAATAGTGAAAATTGAAAAATTCTGCGATACAGCCTACAAACATCTTTTATTTTCATTTCTCTTTTTTTTTCCAACCATCATTGAGACTTCGGCAGATAAGAACCCCTCCTTTACTTCTTAAAAAATCCCTTGGAAAGTAATAATCCCCAGTTCATTATCTTATACTTCAAGTGTGTGCCAACATGGCTTCCTTCCACATACAGTTCAAACCTTACCCCATTACCTACCTAATAAAGTGGGAAAGGAAATAATTGCCACAGTCACTGTGATATCTAGCGAACATATCTCCCCTCTCAACATGTATGGTTGTGCGACTGTTGTTTACTTTTACTATTTGTATTTTGTCTTTTTATGTTCCCCTTTTTCCCCCTTGAGTTGTTCGCCGCCCTGAGTCCTCCCAGAGAAGGGCGGCATACAAATAATAAAATACAAATACAAATACAAACATAGCTCTCTCAATATGCTGGGGCTAGCTGTCCTGAGGCTTCTTGCATCAAGTCAGATTGAAAGTTGCACATCGTCCTGAGGCTGAGCCATTTAATTTATGATGCCTTGTGGAACTGGCTGTCTTTTCCAAAGGACACTTTTGCTTTTCTCCATCCCTCAGTGTCTCTGACAGCTTACATCTTTTCTGTTTGCTAGAGCTTAATGCTTAAAATATTAATCTTTGTCCCCCCATTTACCTTCTTTCCACTCTAGTTCCCAGATGATGTAAATAACAGCAGCTCACCAAAACAAAAACAAAAAACCATACACACAGGAGAGAGAAATTCTTGGTTTTGGGGCAGAGGGAACCATAAGAGCAATATGGTCTCTTTTAATGGTTGATGTTAAATTCTAAAGTGAAAAGTAAAGTTGCAAAGAAAAATTAATAATAACCTGGTAGACTTTAGTTGGGTCAACACATTCTGTTTAAAAGAGATAGCTGAAGATCTCAAGTATTTTTGTCATGATATCATTTCATGCCAATAAACAATTTCATTATTCTTTTTTTAAAAAATAAAGCAGATAATAGGAAGGGATAGTCTTATTTCAGGTAAAAGAATACATTTGTCGAGAGGAAATTAGTAGAATTCCAAGAGAGGCTATTAGAGCATAACACACAATGTTTTCTGATCATGGTTTATAGTTGCCCTTTCACCTGGCCTTGTGTATATAATCCAAGTAGGAATGTCTAGGAAATATAACTGGGTAGTATGAAAGCAGATCCCCTATTGAATTTAAATTCAATGAATATGATCAATACCCCTGCATGTAATGTTTGCTCCTTCTGTAACATTAAAAACTACATTTTAACAGCGATTTTACAAGGACCTCTAATTGTATCTAGACATTAGAGATTTTCTCGCCACCTTTGGTCATCATACATTACTAGTAATACCAGTACTAGTACTGGTATTTAAAAATATTGGTACTAGTACTGATATTTAATATATTTTGGGGCTATGGTTGCAAAAATATAGTATCCTGATTGAGAAAAAGCAATTATTTGGCATTGATCTATCTACATGTTAATCTTGGATTCTATAAACACATAAATCAGCATGTCTATACTTATGTCTGTGTCTTTCTCAAGAAACACATTGAGAAATTGGAGTTTCAAAACCATGTCCTAGAAGCAAGCACTGAATAAGCTGAGGTTTGTTAGCTTGGAAAATAAAAGCTTAAGAATAGATAATGATAGTGATTTTCAAATCATTCTCTATTGCTTTAGAGAGCAAGTTTAACCCGGAGGAATATAAATGGCAGGGAAGCAGATTGTAGCTAAGCATAAAAAGAAATTTCCTTGCATTATGAGATGTTTGATAGTTGGAACAAACTGCCTTGGAAGAGGCTGAATCCTAAAGGCATGTAAGTAGAGGCTGGACAGAGAATCTATCTATCAGAGAAGCTATAATTGTATCCCGAGTTACAGAACCATAGGCTACTATTTTGGCATGAACTGAATCCCCACATGGAGTTTATTTGTTTTAAAAAAATGCCCCCAAATGCTGTGTTACATACAGGATTCTTCTTCTTTGCAGGTTTTCCATGGCAATGTCAATGCTGACAGTGTGGTCCAGCACAAATTCCTTCACTCTGTTAAAGCTCGCTTTGTACGCTTTGTGCCTGTGACATGGAGCCCGAGTGGAAATATTGGTCTGCGGGTTGAAGCCTTTGGATGCTCGTACAGTAAGTATTGAAATGTATCCTAGCATATACCAGAAGCATCATCTTCTTTCTTCTGAAGGTTCAGAAACAATTTTGTACATTCAAGTTATCAGGAAAATACTAATGTGCAAGTTTACAGAGCACATCCCAAGCTGATTAGTTGGTCCCACCAGTGGTGGGTTTCTACCATTTCGGACCGGGTCAGTAGTGGTTTGGCGGCCTGTGTCACTGGAACCAACAATGACCTAGGCCTGCCATGCCCCCAAACTGGGTCTCCAGGCAGCGCCATAGGCACCACCATCTTGCTTTTTGCTTCTGTGTATGTGCAGAACAATTTTTATTGTACTGCACATGCACACGGGGCACAGCCATGAGGAAACCAGCAGTAGTAACTGCCGGAATCTACCCCTGGGTCCCACCTCTGATTTTTAGCTTCTGTAGCAAATTTTGCTTCTGTAGCACAATCCCTCCCTTCACTGTCATATCTGTATATACTTTTCCTCCAGCATTTGTCTGGCTAATTTTCACTTTTTCCTATATGCGTTTGAAGAAAGTACTATTACCTAGAATGTCACCAATAGCTTTTTTTAGAAGTAAATATTTTTAAAGATTATTTTCTTTCACTACGGATAAAAAAAGCTATATCAAACAGGTAGTCCTTGACTCACGACACAATTGAGCCCAAAACTTCTGTTGTTAAGTGAAATATTTGTTATGTAAATTTTGTCCAATTTTACAACCGTTCTTGCCACAGTTGTGAAGCACTGCAGTTGTTAAATTAGTAACATGGTGATTACAGGAATCTGGCTTCCCCACTGTCCTTGCATGTTGGAAGTTTGCAAAAGGGGATCACATGACCCCAGGACACTGCAATGGTCATAAATATGAGTCAGTTGCCAAGTATCTGAATTTTGATCGCACGAGCATGAGAACACTGCAATGGCTGTTGAATAACAGTCAAAAGTTACTTTAAGAGTGCCGCTGTAACTTCTTACAGTCAAAGTTGTAAGTCAAGGACTACCTGTACTTACAAAATCTGCCACAATTTGGTTTAAGTAGAAGCATAGATACCAATTTGCATTATGCCCAAAAATTATCTTCAGTCATATTGAAGAGAGACATCAATGGAAAATAGATTGGATTTGGAGCTCCTGTGATTTTCTGAACCACTCTGAGTCCAAAGTTCATCCCTTTTATGGAGCTTTAGTAACTAACCAATATAAAGATTAGGTGGAACAGTTCATAAATTCTAGAATAACCATCATCAAATGTGCCAGTTTTCCATTGTTCCCCATGTAAGGAGAATTACATGGAGTTGCACTAAAAGGTGCAATATGTTCTGAATGATTAAATAGTTACAGCTCTCTATTATGGCAGTGCGGTTCTCTACCTAGGTGAAATATTTCTATTCAACATTTCTGGACCTGAAATTCTTGTCTGTCACACTTAACATTTTTGGAGTGCCTGCTGCCATTTGTGGGCATTTCAACCTCTAGTGCATTAGCCCAAAACAAAAAGTGATGAGCTGGTCATGGGAATAAAATGAAAACCTGATTGTGAATTAATTAGAAGTGTTGTTGGATGACTGCCAAGAAGTAACCATTTGTTTAGGATCAAAGCCAGAAAAAGAAGCCTAGGAGTTAAGTGTCTCATTAGCACACACAAGGTAAAATCACAACCACAGGTTTCATTGGGTACACCTCTCTAACTCATACCAGGTTTTTTTAAGTGCTATATAATTAGCTGGGAAATAAATTTCCAGGTACAATGTTTCTACAAAAAAAAAACGGAAACAGTGCAATTTTAGGGAGTTTTCAAAATGCTTATTATAGGGGACATAATGAAGTATTATGTGCAAAAACCTATTTCTCTTCAACTTTAGGATTTATTTATTTATTTATTTAAGGATAGAAGAGAATAGAAGAGAATAGAATAACAGAGTTGTAAGGGACCTTGGAGGTCCTCCAGTCCAACCCCCTGCCCAGGCAGGAAACCCTACACCACTTCAGACAAATGGTTATCCAACATCTTCTTAAATGCTTCCAGTGTTGGAGCATTTACAACTTCTGGAGGTTAGTTGTTTCCCTGATTAATTGTTCTGTCAGGAAATTTATCCTTAGTTTAAGTTGCTTCACTCCTTGATTAGTTTCCACTCATTGCTTTGGAAAATAGCTTGACAATAGCTTTGTGGCAGTCCCTGAGATATTGGAACACTCATGTCTCCCCTAGACCTTCTTTTCATTAAACTATACGTACTCAGTTCCTGCGTTCTTCATATGTTTTAGCCTTCAGTCCCCTCAGCATCTTTGTTGCTCTTCTCTGTACTCTTTCTAGAGTTTCAACATCTTTTTTTACATCTTGGTGGCCAAAACTAAATAAATAATTTATTTATTTGTAAAATTTATTAGCTGCCCATTTTACCATAACTCTGGGTGGCTTACAATATAAATCACTTATTTACTTAGACCTACATATGAATTATTCCTTATACATAAGTCTCTGATCATTGTTCTCATACTGCCTGAAATACCTATAGCGTAGGCAGAATTCACTGGATTCAGATACTTTCAAAGTATTTTAATGCAAGTCACTGATTTCAGCAACAGACATTCAGGCCAGATTCATATAATACAGTATCATAGTGTTCAATTTTGGCTTGATGAGTTGTGTAACTCTAGATACTGTAACATGTGAACAAAGGATAGTTTAATGGCTTAGGTCCCCAATCTTTCCAGCTCTGTGAACTGGCAGCAGTGGGCAAGTATGTGACACTGCAGTTGTGTGAAATCATCCCCCCCCCTTCTTGCTGCCGCTGCGTGTTTGCAGAATGGGAAAAATTGGGGACAGATGTATTAGAGGTGGTCAATTTGGAAGCCTCTCTGATTATGCTGAAGAAGCTGCCCATCCAGCAAGCACTTGTCAGTATCTGAAGGTTAATGAAAACCACTTCTAATAGCGCTGGCCCAAAAAGTTCAAGTCCACCAAAACTGTTTCAGTGAATAGTCTCTTTGCTTTGGTAATGTAAGTCTTATTGATTCCATGACCTATGTTGTTTTATCCAAGCAGATCCACATTTAATGCTACCAAATTCCCTTATGCTGTGCTCTCCACCTGCCTATCTTTTTGGTTATCATATTGATGTATTCTCAGTGTCTTCTTTTTCACACTTTATTTTATTGTTCTATTATTTTACTTATGTTCTATTTACCTTCCTTTCATTTTCTTCCTTTTTATTACTGTAAGTCACCTAGAGTATCCCCACGGTGAGCTAAGTGGCAAATAAATTTAACAAATAAAATAAAATAAATAAATAAGTAATGGAGTAAAAAGCTACATGCCTCTCAGTTTGTTTATTATGTCAAAATATTCAGACATAGGGTTAGAGGTTATTCTCCATGTGAGCATAGATGCACAATCCCCACCCAGTACCATCAATTTTTATAGAACAATCTCCCAATTTTAAAACTAAAAGTGGGGGGAAGCTTGGTCAGTAAAATTATACATAATAAAAATGCATAAAGCACTTATTACCTGGCTCTGTATAGCAATCTGGGTATGATGACAAGACGAACAACCAGAGTTATATCGGATGACATCTGCAGATGAATGGAAAGTTGATTGTTCAGGATGCCAGGAAGGAAAACATTTTATCTTATATTTCAAAAAGATCTTGTTAGCATATCACCAGCAAATTCTGCTGACCAAGGTGTGTGTGTGTGTGTGTGTGTGTGTGTGTGTGTGTGTGTGTGTGTGTGTGTGTGTGTGTGTGTGTG